GGCAATTTTTGATCCCGAAGTAGAGGGGGGCACCGACCGAGGCAGTCGTGGAGTGTAAAAGAAAAAGGGGGATTTTGGGGTGTGGGGGATGTCTGTGGCCCCTGCTTCGTGCGCACCTTTATTTTGCTCGGGAGTGGCTGCCCACCGCCATCCCTGGGCCCACTGGGCACTGGTGTGAGGGGCCCCCCCCTAGTCTTGCGAGGGGTGGCTGCTACCTTTGCGTGGGTAGGTAAGAACTCGTCTCATGCGAGAGAGGCCGCCGAGAAACAGGTGACCGCCGCCAGGGCGGGGGGGGGGGCGCCTTTCCCCTTGACAATGAGCTGCATCACGTCCGAGACCATGCCGCCCGTGTAGCGCAGCTGGTACCGGTTCTCGTGCCAGTACGCGATCAGGGAGGCGTAGCCGGGGTGTTCGGTGACGGCGCGCAAGTTGCCGGGGGCGAAGAGTGCCTGAGAATAAGAATGAGGAGGAGAACGATAACAATCATACGCCCGCCCTCCCACCGGTTGCCGGGGGCGAACAGGGCCTATCCTTGCTGAATACGCCACGCCTCAGGGCGGGACTGCGGCCTTGCGCAGTGTCTTCAGAGCACCGCGTGAAGACGACGGGGAGGAAGGCAGTGGAGTGCGTGGCTCTCCAGTGCTGGTTGGGAGACAAGAGTACATATTCCGCGTCTAGGGAAGAGCGCCCCCTCGCCGAGGGACGTGTACCTACGCGCTGACAACGCCAGCCTCGGGGCGGGAGTCCGGTGTCGTGCGAGGCATTCAGAGCACCGCGTGAGGACAACGGAGAGGACGACAGGGAGTGCAGCGGAAGGCGGGTGAGTACAGCTGAGTACGTGTCCTCTCGAGTGCTAGATATGGGGGAGATATGGGGAGATATGGGGAGGTGTGTCCTCTCGAGTGCTAGATATGGGGGAGATGTGGGGGAGATATGGGGAGATATGGGGAGGTTCTTCTCGAGTGCTGGTTGGGAGACAAGAAGACGCCCTCAGCTCCTAGGGACACGTACCGGTTTGCGAGCAGCCAGCGCGCGCCGCCGCCGCCCGCCCGATCGCCTGTTCACAGAAGGGACGAGTGAACCTCGGGCAACCTCGGGCAACCTCGGGCAACCTCGGGCAATCTCGGGCAATCTCGGGCAGTCTCGCCGGGGACGAGCAGAAACTCCGCGACGCCGCCCGAGCCGGCGAGAGCGACGGCGAGTGTGGTCCGCGGGCCGTAGATGCACGCGCCTAGTCCCATACCCTCCAGGGTGGCCGAACCCGGTGTGGGTTCGGTCCCGTGGGTGTAGGGTGAGGGAGGGAAGGCGCCCGCGGCGAGCAGCGACTCGCCGGTCACGTTGAGCAGCGACGGCGCGCGCCACACCCCGAAGAGCGACCCCACCGCGAAGTTTGTGTCGATGATTGACGAGCCTGCGGGCGAGTGACCGCGCGGCGGGGCGGCGGCGGGAGGTGAGGCGGCGGCGCGGGCCGTGGGCGCTCCGGGCGGCGGAGGAGATGCGCCGTGGAGGGGGTCGACGCTCGCCGACAGCACGCCTAGGGCCGCTCTCCCGCCGGTCACGACACACCGCTCCGGCCAACGCGGCGAGGTGGTGCCGTGGTGTGCCGAGGTCTGCGGGGACGGCGGCAGGCACGCTTCCCGAGAGGCGCTCGCGACGCTGCCGCTGCTGCACGAGGTCGACGTCCTCCGAGTACTGCCCGGCCGGGTCGAGGCAGCCGAGCGGGTCGAGCGGCGTCGAGACGGCGGCGACGCAGCCCGTGCCCCGCAGCGCGTCGACCATCAGCTGCTCGGCGACGAGGTCGATGGCGACGCCGCTCATCCGCTCGTCGCTGTGGTGCTCGTTGAAGCACGAGTACGAGTCGCACGACGCGGTGCGCACGCGCTCCGCCACGTCCATACACGCGCCGCCGAGAGCGAGCACCACCTCGCTGAGCGACTCGGACGCTCCGCAGTCGCTCAGCCAGCGCTCGAGCGTGAGCTCCGCACCGGCAACCTGCATGATCGGCGCGGCGCGAACCCGAGGTGATAAGCTACGCAGACGCGGCCCGCTCGAAGGGAGCAGCGACGCAGAGGCAGCGGCGCAGAGGCTGGAGGCGATGGCGAAAAGCATCATCGGGCACCACCCAGGGCGAAAGAATTCTTCTAGCTTGGCCTTTACATGCTGCTAGGGGAAACCCGGAGCGCAGAGCTAACCCTCGGGGACCCGTGTTTACTTTAAGGCCCTTGCCCTGCGAACGCGCACCCCCGGGGCTAGGGCTCTCTTGCCCGCAACCCGATGCCAATCATCCGGCCCGCTGGGTGCGCTTCTCAGCTCCGCGGCCCTGGGTGTGCGGTTACTGACTGCACTCCAAGTGCTCCAAGAGGAGGACGGAGTTGCGCCGAAAGGCGAAAGAAGCCGCGAGAACAAGGGACCGGCAGGCGGCGGCGTCGCAGGACGAGGCAGAAGAGAACGACGCGACAGAGGAGGAAGTGACAGGGACAACCCGCCCCCCCAGCCGAGGCCGGTCGAAGCCCACTTGGGCACAGCCATGAGGAGTCCTCTTGGTGCTCCTGGCGGCCTTTCAAACCTCGGGCGCGCGCCGATGGGGGGGGGGGGGGTCTTGCTTGCTCCACACCGAGCGCCATCGTTCTTTTCGGTCCAGCCGCGACCGGCGTGCCCAATGAGGGTCGGCCTGCACAAGGTCTGTGCCGCGGGCGCTCGTCGCCAAGTGCAGTGTCACGCTCGCGCTGGATGGAGCGGGTCACAATGGGAAACCCTCGTTTCCTAGTCACTCGGTCCCCCAACGGAAGAGGCCTCGCTCCTATTGGAACAAGCCAACATCAGATTTGCCTCGTGCGTCCCTTTTTGAGCCGGAAAGCTATTTTCTTTTGGGTCCTGTGGGCACCCTAACGTCTTGCGCTTGCCTGACGGCGTGCCAGAGTCGACTGCACTGGCCTTGAGGAGCATTGACCGACCACGACAACGTTGGTCCCGATCTTTGCTCGAATCGAGAATTTTCTTTTTTTGGCTCTCGACAAACACGGAGAAGAAAAATGGGGCTCGACAAACACGAGAGACGTGTATCGGACACTACCCCGTCTCGAGGTCTTGAGGAAAGACGCCGGCAGCAGCGGCCAAGCAGGCGCCCGAACCAGCAGACACAGGGACGACACAGTGGGTGGAAGGCCTACCAGATGTCAGCGGCCTGTAGCGCGTACGCACACTGCGCCTCTCTCGCCGGTGACTGCTGCCCCACGTGCCACGACCGGCGGAGTCGTCCCGAGGTCAACCATGCTCGCTCATCTATCGGACCCTCGCTACCCAACGCGGCCAAAGGATATATCGAGAGAGACGAGTCGAGGTCTTGAGGAGTTTTGATCGCGGTGACGGGGTAGAGTAGAGCTAATTCGCCCCCCGCACCCACAGAGAGCCGGAGCCCTGAATGGTGGCGGGCAGCATCTCGGGCGAGGCGGCGGCGGGAGCGAGTGACGCGGCCTCTTCCAGCTTACTGGGCAGCCTTCCCGACGAAGTCACCGATGCGGCTGGGCGAGGCGACGAGGCGGCGCTGCTGGCGTGGCTCGACAGCGGCGGGCGGGTCAACGCGACTTGCAGGGTAGGCGATACGAGCGGCATCACCGCGCTGATGCTCGCCGCCCCGGAGGGCCACGAGCGGGTGGTCGATCTGCTGCTGCGGCACGGCGCGGAGGTCAACAAGCAGAACAGCAACGGCGGCACCGCGCTGATGATCGCCGTCCAGGATGGCCACGAGCGGGTGGTCGAGCTGCTGCTGCGGCACGGCGCGGAGATCAACTTGTCGACCAGCAAGGGCGGCACCGCGCTGATGCTCGCCGCCGGCAAGGGCCACAAGCGGGTGGTCGAGTTGCTGCTGCAGCGCGGCGCGGAGGTGAACTTGCAGGACAGCATGGGCCGCACCGCGCTGATGCTCGCCGCCCAGGAGGGCCACGAGCGGGTGGTCGAGCTGCTGCTGCAGCGCGGCGCGGAGGTGAACAAGCAGAGCAGCGACGGCCGCACCGCGCTGATATCCGCCGCCAGCCGAGGCCACGAGCGGGTGGTCGAGTTGCTGCTGCGGTACGGCGCGGAGGTCAACCTGCAGAACAGCTTCGGTGGCACCGCGCTGATGCTCACCGCCGCCAACGGCCACGAGCGGGTGATCGAGCTGCTGCTGAACCGCGGCGCGCAGGTCAACCAGCAGGACAGCGACGGCGGCACCGCACTGATGGACGCCGCCCGCTACGGCCACGAGCGGTTGGCCGATCTCTTGCTTCAGCACGGCGCGGAGACCGACATGCAGAACGCTGGTGGCGTCACCGCGCTGATGGCCGCCGCCCTCTTCGACCACCCCGCCGTCGTGCTCCGCCTGCTGCGTGCGGGAGCGGATACGAAGCTGCGCTCTGAAAACGGCAAGACAGCGCTGCAGGTGGCCAAAGAGCAGGGCCACGCCGCGTGCGTCGAGGCCTTCCGGCAGCACGTCACGGAGGTGGCCACGGCGGGGCGGCGCGAGGCGGCGGCGAGAGGCGCGGGCGGCGCTTCCTCGGGCGAGGCGTCGATGGGGGCGAGTGCCGCGGCCTCTTCCAGCTCACTGGGCAGCCTTCCGAAAGAGGCGGGGAACGCGGCTGCGGAAGGCGACAAGGCGGCGCTGCTGGCGTGGCTCGACAGCGGCGGGCGGGTCAACGCGACTTGCGTGGCGGGCGATACAAGCGGCATCACCGCGCTGATGATCGCCGCCCAGGAGGGCCACGAGCGGGTGGTCGAGCTGCTGCTTCAGCGCGGCGCGGAGATCAACAAGCAGAACGGCAAAGGTGGCGCCGCGCTGTGGAACGCCGCCCAGCAAGGCCATGAGCGGGTGGTCGAGCTGCTGCTGCAGCGCGGCGCGGAGGTCAACCTGCAGGCCAGGAACGGCGTCACCGCGCTGATGTGCGCCGCCAGCCGTGGCCACAAGCGGGTGGTCGAGCTGCTGCTGCAGCGCGGCGCGGAGATCAACAAGCAGAGCAGCATTGGCGGCACCGCGCTGATGTACGCCGCCCAGGATGGCCACAAGCGGGTGGTCGAGCTGCTGCTGCAGCGCGGCGCGGAGATCAACATGCAGGACAGCGACGGCAACACCGCGCTGCTGCTCGCCGCCGGCCAAGGCCACGAGCGGGTGGTCGAGCTGCTGCTGCAGCGCGGCGCGCAGATCAACATGCAGGACAGCCGCGGCATCACCGCGCTGATGCTCACCGCCGCCAACAACCACCCCGCCATCGTGCTCCGCCTGCTGCGGGCGGGCGCAGACGCGGCGGCGCGCACCAATAAGGACACGACGGCGCTGCAGTTTGCCAAGGAGGATGGCCACGCCGAGTGCGTGCGCGCCCTCGAGGAGCATGCGGCGGCGGAGGCGGAGGCGGAGGCAGCGGCGAGGGAGGCGGAGAGAGCGGCGGCAGAGGCGGAGGCGACGCGACACGCCGACGCGCTGCTAGCGGAGGAGGAGGCGGAGAAGCAGGTGGAGGGGAGCGCCAAGAAGAGCAAGAAGGGCAAGAAGAAGAAGAAGAGCGGCGGCGGCGAGGCACTCGTCTCGGCTCCGGGCCCCAGCGCCATCGCCGCCTCTTCACCGCCACCCCCGCCGCCAGCCTCTCCTCCTCCGCCGGCCGACGCAGCCGCCATCGCTGCGGCGGACGAGGCGCTGCAGCAGGCCGTGGCTGCTGGCTTGTATGACGGATTAGCGAGAGCGCTGGAGGCGTGCAGCGGCCTCGCGAGCCCGGCCGTGCTGGCGGCGGCGAGGCGTACGCGCGACAAGCTCAAGGAGGCGCGGAGGCGGGACAGCCAGCGGCTGCGCATGGCGCATGGCGCGGCGATGGGCGCGCTCAAGTCGCTCGACACCGCAGACAGCCCCTCCGCGCTCCGCGCGGGCATCGCCGCCGCCAGGCCGCACGTGGGCGTGCTGCCTGCGCTGGACGAGGAGTTGAGCGCGGCAGAGTCGCGGCTGGAGGAGCTGTCTGTCGCTGCCGAGCCGGCGGAAGAGGCGGCTGTTGCTCGGCCCGTCGAGCTAGCCCTGTCGGACCTCACCACGGCGACGGATGGGTTTGCAGAGGGCAAGCTGATTGGCAGCGGCGGATTCAGCCGCGTCTACGAGGCGTCGGCCGACCTCCACCTCTCCCTCGCCGCGCCTCCGCAGCTGCGCCACTTGCCGCTCGTCGTCAAGCGGGCAAAGTCGGGCCAGTCCGGCGGTTTGTCGCGGGCGGAGCTCGAGGTGAAGCTGCTCAAGGCGGTGAGCCACCCGCACCTGCTGCCGCTGCTCGGCTACTGCCTCTCGCCCGACGGCGTCTGCCTCCTCTCGCCGCTGATGTGCGGCGGCTCGCTCGAGGCGCGGCTGCGCATCTCAGATCCCGACAGCGCTGCGCAGCTCCGGCGGCTGGGCATGGCAGAGCCGCCGAGGCCGCTGACGTGGCGGCAGCGCGTTCGCATTGCGTGCGAGGCGACCGAGGCGCTCGTCTACCTCCACTCGAAGGGCATCGTGCACCGCGACGTCAAGCCGGACAACATCCTGCTCGACGAGAAGCTGACCGCTGTCCTCGCCGACACGGGCTTCGCCAAGGACCAGCGGCCGGACGCGTCTGTCCGCTGCCGCTCGACCGCCCTCTACATGTCCACGGGCTACCTCTGCCCCTCCATCACCAAGGGGGGCGAGTACTCGAGCAAGACGGACGGCTACGCCATCGGCATCACCCTCCTCGTCTGCCTCACCAACCGGTCCGAAGTGCAGCTCACCGACCGGTGCGAGGACGAGTTCGAGGAGGACTGGACCGACATCGACGCGGCGAAGCTCGCCGACGTGGCTGCGGGCTGGCCAGCCGACGCGGCTCGCGCAGTCAAGGACCTCGCGCAGGCGGGAGACGGGCAGAAGAGCCTCTGCCACAATAGCCTGCGCAAGAGGCCGACGCTGCCCGAGGCGCTGCTAGCTCTCCGGGCGTTGCTCTCTGGCTCGCAGCGAGGGGCGGGGGTGGAGGAGGCTGCGCCGGCACCTGGAGACGAGGCCGCCACAGCAGCCGCTCGCACCACCGGCTACGAGCCTTCGCCGCTCTCGGTGCAGGTGCGCGGCATGCGCACGGGCGGCGACGCGCAGACGCGCATTCAGGACAACATGCTGCTCGCCTTCAAGACGCTGATGCCGCGCCTCGACGCCGTCTACGCCTCGCGCTCTGCGGCGGCGCCCGACGGCTTCGAGGAGCGCATCAACTTTTGGCACCGCGAGTGCGGCTTGCCGGCCGAGCTGCGGAGCCAGCTGCACTTGCTGCGCATCTGGGCGAACGCAGCGCGGCACCACGACGCGGCGAGGTGGAGGAGGGACGGGCCGCGCAGCGAGGGGGAGGCGTCGCGGCTCGTGGCCGCGGTGACCGAGGCGATCGGGGCGCTCGAGGGGTAATATTTGTGTGTACGAGTGTTCCTCGAGGTCGTATGGTACACCGTCGTCGGTGTGTACTCAAGCAGCCCCCCCCCCCCCCGCCGTAACATGCACATCATGTTGGTTTAAGCAGCAGGCGGCCCAGGGCTTTAACCTTTATGTATATAAGTAGAGGAACCAGTGGAGAGGACAGCGGGGAGGGACGTGTCCGAGGTGGTGGGGGGGCTCGTTGTGCGAGTATATGGGACACGATGGGTCTCAAATATGAGGGGTTTTGACTCCTACCGGCTCCTGACGCTATTCCTGGCAGCTCTTATGACCAGGATCAGTAGTGCTATGATACAGGGTGCCCATGCTAGCGCAGGAGCTGCCACACTCGCCCGGACCGTCCCCTTCTGGGGCCGGTTCCGCAGCCCGCGAGAGCCGACAGCGCGGGACAGCGGGGCCGTGCCGCGGGTGCCTACTGCCGAGTGCCACAAACACTGCGCCGTCCCGCCATCACCTACAGGCTGTCTTGTGTGATGGTTGGGATGTCAAAACGCCACCATCTTGGCTCTTGCGACCTCAAACCCGCGAGCTGTATGGGTGGTCCTGACGTCGACAGACGCCCAATGACCACGGTGAAGCTGAGCCGGAACGCGTCGACAAGTCTCGCCTGAGCCCGTGGCGGTCGCCGGCTGGGTCGCTGTGCACGGGCCGGTACCTCAGGCGTCACCTCCGCAGCCTCAGGTCTCACACTCCATCACCTCCGACGGGACGCTTTCGGTGGCACGCTCGGCGGCGACTTTGTGGCAGCCCCACAGCGAGCGCGGCGTCGAGCCTATTCGGTCTGGTCGGTCGGCCGCACTCACTGGGTGCCAGGGAGTGCGGCCGAAACGCGAGCGGTGCTTCCTGGCAGCGCGCGCCGGCTGTGGGGCTGCCACAACTGCCACAAACTCGACTCACGCTTTTTTGGGACATTTTCGACGCTTTTGTCCCATACTAGTATACTCGCACAACATGCCGGGGGCAAGGGGGGCGACCCCCTCGCATCTCGGAGAGGGCAGTGACCAGTAGTAAAGGGGAAGCGGCGGGGGGCCCTCTCAGTTGACCAGCGGTTGTGCGCCAGGCCCTCCTGCTCGGCTCCAGCTCCACAGTACGCAGTAGACAAGTGATGATAAAGCGCGCTGCGCGAATACGGAAAAAGCGCGTTGTTCGTGCTACCCAACGTTGGTTTTGAGAGAGAGAGATTTTAGCAATAGTTTTGGTTGGTTGGTTAGTGTTTTTGGTTTTGTTGGAGGATGTTCGAGTGGCGGGCTATCCCGCTTGCGGGATGGCTTAGCGGGTTCGAGCCGTCACACATTGGCTGCCGGGGTGTGCCGAGGGGGGGCTGGGTGGGCGGTAAGCCGTCATTGCCCGGCGCTGCTTGCTTGCAGCGCTCTGGGTGGTAGTGGCGGCGCTCCAAGAGTGGTGCTCTTGGGAAGAGGTTCCTCCTTTCCGCTTCCCCCCCGCAAGGCGCGAGACACACATGTTGTTGGCAAGGTAAACACAGAGCTCACTTTAGGTGCTGAAGAAACTTTCGAAAAAAGAATTCGGGGGGCCGAGCGATGGCAGAAAACCCCCTTTGTGAACAGACGCCGTCCTTTCCCTCCGCTGCCTCAGCGGCGCACCCTGCAGCCTCAGCACAGCGACTGCCGGTTGAGTCCGCCGATGCGTGGTGCGGGATCGCGCGACGAGAGGCACACCTCTGCTGCCGGTGGTCAGCTCAATGCTAAGCAGCTCAGCAGCCACATCTCAGATGCCAGCGGCGCCGACGCACTGCTCACGCTCTTTGCTGCCCACAGCGCGAGCTTGGACCACATCCACGCTGCGAACCTGTGGAACAAACTGGGCAAGCAGCGCATCGAGCGGCGGCACGAGGGGCAGCTTGAGCAGCTGGTGCAGCGCACGCTGGACCTCATTCCTTCGTGCCGTGCACGCGAGCTGGCCAACGTGTCTCACGGCGTTGCAAAGTGCGGCCTGCAAGCGAGGATGGTGCACCCGTTGTTCGTAGCGGTGGCGGAGGCGGCGGTGCGCGGCGAGCTGGATGGCTTCAACCCTCAGAACCTCTCCAACACGGTGTGGGCGTATGCGACGGCGGGCGTGGCTGCGGACGAGCTGTACGCGGCGGTGGCGGAGGCGGCGGTGCGCAGCAGGCTGGCTGGCTTCAAGCCTCAGAACCTGTCCAACACGGTGTGGGCGTACGCGACGGCGGGCGTGGCTGCGGATGCGCTGTACGCGGCGGTGGCGGAGGCGGCAGTGCGCGGCGGGCTGGCTGGCTTCAACCCGCAGGAGCTAGCCAACACGGTGTGGGCGTATGCGACGGCGGGCGTGGCTGCGGACGCGCTGTACGCGGCGGTGGCGGAGGCGGCGGTGCGCGGCGGGCTGGCTGGCTTCACCCCTCAGGCCCTGGCCAACACGGTGTGGGCGTATGCGACGGCGGGCGTGGCTGCGGACGCGCTGTACGCGGCGGTGGCGGAGGCGGCGGTGCGCGGCGGGCTGGCTGGCTTCACCCCTCAGAACCTCTCCAACACGGTGTGGGCGTATGCTACGGCGGGCGTGGCTGCGGACGAGCTGTACGCGGCGGTGGCGGAGGCGGCGGTGCGCAGCAGGCTGGCTGGCTTCAAGCCTCAGAACCTGTCCAACACGGTGTGGGCGTATGCGACGGCGGGCGTGGCTGCGGACGCGCTGTACGCGGCGGTGGCGGAGGCGGCGGTGCGCGGCGGGCTGGCTGGCTTCACCCCGCAGGCCCTGGCCAACACGGTGTGGGCGTATGCGACGGCGGGCGTGGCTGCGGACGCGCTGTACGCGGCGGTGGCGGAGGCGGCGGTGCGCGGCGGGCTGGCTGGCTTCACCCCTCAGGCCCTGGCCAACACGGTGTGGGCGTATGCGACGGCGGGCGTGGCTGCGGACGCGCTGTACGCGGCGGTGGCGGAGGCGGCGGTGCGCGGCGGGCTGGCTGGCTTCACCCCTCAGAACCTGGGTAACACGGTGTGGGCGTATGCGACGGCGGGCGTGGCTGCGGACGCGCTGTACGCAGCGGTGGCGGAGGCGGCGGTGCGCGGCGGGCTGGCTGGCTTCAAGCCTCAGGACCTGGCCAACACGGTGTGGGCGTATGCGACGGCCGACTATCATCACCAGGCGCTGCTTGCCGACTGCTCGCGCGTGATCAGCGACTCGCTCGCGCGGGATCCGTCGAGGTGGAGTGAGGAGGACCGCCGTCAGCTGCACCAGTGGCAGCTCTGGCTCTCTCTGGAACGCGGGGTAGACGGGCAGCAGCATCTCCTCTCCGAGTCTCAGCGCAAGCTCTGCTGCGACGCCATGCAAGGCACCGAAGTTACGATCTCGCGCTTGCAGCGCTCCGTTGCAGCTGCCCTCGCCTCCGTCCATTCTGGCTTCGAGAAAGAGCACCTCGAGCCGCGCACCGGCTACTCGCTCGACCTGGCGCTGCCCTCGTCACGCGTCGCGATCGAGGTGGACGGCCCCTCTCACTTCATGCTGCCCGACGGCAGGGGCGTGCGCAGACCCAATGGGCCAACGCTGCTCAAGCGGCGCCTCCTCGCGGCGGCTGGCTGGAGGTTGATCAGCGTTCCATTCTACGAGTGGGACGGCGTTGCGACAGCCAATGGGCAGCAGACCTATCTGGAGAGGGCGGTCGCCCCGCTGTTGGGCTCCAGTACTGTGCGCACTGACTCCCGTAGGGCGGCTCCCGTGGTGTACCTGTGTTAGTCGGCCAGCGCCAGTCCCACCCCCGTGTAGCGTGTTCCGTTTTTTCAATCCTTTTACCCGTGGTGTACCTACCTTTGGTTCTTGTTCTCGTGCCTGTATGTATAGTACTTTTAGCTTACTGACTGGGAGAGAGAGAGAACGTACTGGGAGAAAAGGGAGAGGGTTCTCTCTCTGCCTGTAAACTGTGTTAGTGGCGCGCGCCTAGAAAGAAGAGATGAATTCAGAAACACCTACCTGCGATAGCAACGGATTACCGACCGAAATCACCCGGTTTTGCCCAATTCGTGGCGTTGGCGCCTTGGCCCATCCCGCCGCGTGTCCAAAGGCGAGTGTCCCGGCCGGGAAGAAGAGGACCGCGTCCACCGCCGCCCCGCTGCTGCTAAGGTTCTGATAGGCGCGGACGGACTTCTGCTCCCCCTCGTGTGGCGCCTCCTGAACGACCATCACCACCCGTCCGCCCGCCTCCGCCGTGGCTCATTCCCATTTTTCTTTTTCTTTTGAGCAGGTGTGTGCCGCTGCGCGACACGCTCGCGCGGCGGCGGTGTGTGTGTGTGTGTGTGTGTGTGTGTGTGAGGGGGGGGGGGGGGCTCGGGGGCGCGCAGGACAAAGGCTCGACGATCATCGGCTCGCCGAGGGGGAACGAGGAGGGGGGAATGGGCGGTCGGCGTCGGGGTAGCAGCACCAGGGCGTACGGGGTAGCCGTCACTTTCCTGCCTCACAAGGGCGGGGCTGTCCCGGAAAGTGAGAAACGCCGGGCAGCGTGACGCACAACTGAACCCTCCCATATGTGTTTGGGGTTCCTCCTTCGCTGTCCCATCTCCTCATCTCTTTCCCGCCTGGGCGGGGCGGGGGGCGGGGGGGCGGCGGGTGCGGGTGCGGGGTGCGGTGCGGTGCGTGCAATCGTGTGTCTGGCGTCATGTTGTGTGTGCCTTCGCTTGTTATTAACATCAGTCTACCTCAAAAAAAGAAAACGAGCGTGCTTGCGTGATTACCAGCGTTATGGCAGACATCTCGGCGAGGTCGTGGCTGCTGCTCTCCGTCACGTACCTCGCTTACGTCTGCATCTACTGCGCGCGCAAGCCCTTCGCCGTCGCCAAGACCAGCATCAAGGACGACCTCGGCGTCGCCGACGGCCAACTCGGCCTGATTGACACGGTGCTGCTCGCAACGTACGCGGTGGGACAGCTGTCGCTCGCGCACGCGGTCCGCAGGTTCGGCCGGCGCTGGACGCTCGTCCTCGCCTTTGCCCTCTCTGGCGCCGCGACCGCCGCCTTTGGACTCTGCAGCTCGGCGCCCGCGATGATGGCGGCGTGGGGCGCCGCCGGCCTCTTTGCGGCGCCCGCGAGCCCGCTCTTCTCGACCCTGGTGGGGGAGGCGGTCCCCGACGCGGTGCGTGGGACGGTCCTCGGCGTGTGGAGCTCCTGCGAGAACCTCGGCGGCGCGGTCGCAAACAGCATCGCGGCGAGTGCCCTCGGCGGCGGCTGGCGGCGCGTCTTCTTCGTCTCTGGGCCCGTGGTGTCGGTCTGGGCGGTGGCGCTGATGTTTGTGATCCCGCGGGAGGCCGCGCCGCCCGCCGCCGCGCCAAGGCCGGCCACGCGCGCCTCGCCGCGCCTCGCCGCCGCCGCGGCAACCGGGAAGGAGAAGGGGGAGGGCGCCGCCGACGCCGCGCCGCAGCGGCCGCTCGGAGTGCCGGGGGTGGGTGGCGCGGCGGCGGCGTACGCGCTCACCAAGACGTCGCGGTACATCATGATGTTCTGGCTGACCGTCTACCTCAAGGAGCACATCCTGATGAGCGCATCCAACGCCGGCCACGTCTCGTCGGTGGCGGGCACTAGAGGCCGGATATCTCCCCACATCTCCCCACACCTTGATGCCTAGAGGCCGGATATCTCCCCACATCTCCCCACACCTTGATGCCTAGAGGCCGGATATCTCCCCACATCTCCCCACACCTTGATGCCTAGAGGCCGGATATCTCCCCACATCTCCCCATATCTCCCCCGCCCGATGCGTACTGTTGCACACGGAGGTGCTGGACGTGGCCGGCACGGTCGGCGCCGTGCTGACGGGCGTCGCGACGGACCGCCTCTTCGGCGGTTGCGCGCTGCGTGTCGCAATGCACTCGTGCTGCGCCACCGGCGCCTGCTTCCTGGCGCTCATGCTCGCTTGCCTCTGCGACATGCCGTGGGCGACGCACGTCGCCGCGATCGCGTCGATCGGCTTCTTCATCGCGGGTCCGGGCGGCGTCCTCGGTGCGAGATCTGGGGGGAGATATGGGGAGATATGGGCCGGGCGGCGTCCTCGGTGCGAGATCTGGGGGGAGATGGGGGGAGATATGGGGAGATATGGGCCGAGCGGCGTCCTCGGTGCGAGATCTGGGGGGAGATGGGGGGAGATATGGGGAGAGATATGGGGAGATGTGGGGAGATATGGGGAGATCGGAGCACATGCTTGCCAGGTAGGGGAGATATGGGGAGATATGGGGAGATCGGAGCACATGCTTGCCCGCTTCGACAGCGCACGCCTCAGCGACGGCCACCCTCGGCCCAGGTGCATCCGCGCGCGGGCTGGTCGGCTACGCAGGCCGGTCCGACGACAAGCAGCTCGTCGCGGCGGTCGCGGGGGCTCGTGAGCGGCCTCGCCTCGGAAAGAAGAAAGCGGATCACGCGCGCGTTTCTTTCTTCGTAGGTCGCGGGGCTCGTCAACGGCCTCGCTTCGACGGGGCCGGTCAGACGCTTCCGAGAGAGCCGTTGCAAGAGACACCTCCGAGAGACAAGTGCGTGAGCCGTTTGCGTGATCATTCCACCAAGCGCTTCCAAAGGTCCAAGGAGGCGGCGGTAGGGGGGAAGAGGGGGGGGGGGAGGGGGCAGACGGGCCGGCGAGGTGGAAGGTGGCGTCGGGGGGGGCGGCGGGGCAAAAGGCGGTGGGGGGGGAGGCGGCGGGGGGGGGGGGCGGCTTCCGAGACACCCTTCCGAGAGAGGCACTTCCGAGCGAGACGTCCGTTCTACTTGCGAGAGCCGCCCCGCCCCTGCTCGCGCGCTGCAGGTCTTTGGCGTGCTCGTCGCGCCGCAGCTCAAGGCGCTGGCGGGCTGGCCGGGCCTCTTCGGCGCACTCGGCGCGGCGATGCTCGCGGCAGCGGCGGTGCTGCGGCCGGCAGTGGCTATAGAGGGGGCGTCTCTCGCCAAGCTCAAGCGGGCCTGAGCAGGGCCATGTTTGTGCGCGCTCGCTGCCCCGCGGCGTCTTCTCCGTTGGCATGCGCTTCGATGGATGCCGCGCCTGAGGCGCACAGCCATACCAACACGCGGTCGACCGAAGGCACCAGCGACACCGCGACGCTGGATACCCGGTCTCAAATTCGAATTGGCGGAGCGCGGCCGGTGCGTCACACACTCACACTCACTACAGGGGGTATAGTCTGTAACTGAGAGCCGTACGGTAATAATGATTCTTGTCAACAATTTTGTCGGGGTCTCTCACAAGCTGCGCGAGAGAACACATCGGCTAGTTCCATTTCACTCTGACACGCTAATCTTGAAAACGTCCAACGGAGCTCCGTGTTGCTCCCAGCGCCCTCCCCCGCGCTTCCTGCGGCCATGGCCGATGATACTAGTATGAGAGGTCATCTGGCTACCGCGAGCGCGACTCAACTCGCCGACGTCGTCCGATGATTGTGCCTCAAAGTCAGCCTCCGGAGGCTATCGTGGGGTCGAGCCGGCAGTAGCCGTGACATGTGGTTCCACCACCCCTCGTATGCTTTGCCTCTGACCGCCACCGTTCCCAGGCTGCCAAATGGGATGGAAAGGAAGGCTCGGCGAGCGTATAGAAGCGTGCTCGACCTCGTCGTGGCAACCTGCACGGCAGCGCTGGTAGGCGCGATGAGCGTCGTGCCACCTGACCCGAGACGGGTCGCAGGCGTCGTACCGAGCGCGTCGAGACCGTGTCCTGATGTGATCTGCACGGGTGAGTCACGTCGGCGTCAAAGGAGCGACTTGCGACCTGTCCGAGCTTGATCTCCGATCTCAGCGGCGTCGAGTCGTCTCCGGCGCGCGACAAAGGTACATCCACAGGACGCGCAGAGGCAGCTGCGACCCAGCCGATTGGACGGCGTCACACCGCGCCACCTGCTGTGTGACGCCGTCCACTCGGCGGGGTCGCAGCTGCCTCTGGAAGGCACCGAGATGTACCTTTTTCGCGCAATGGTCAAAATCAAGGTTTTGTAACGCGAGCTGTGCCACAGTGAAATGGAACTAGCCATCGAGCACTGGTTGCGTAGTAGTCTAAGTTCTGAGCCTCGAGGCTGAGCGGGTCTAGGTGTGCCATGGCACGCTGGGGTGCTTGCGCGGTCTAAGATCAGCGGGAGCCTCTTACATCGGCTAAGTCGGCCGTGGCACGGCCTGGGGCCAGGAGGCTCCCACCGTGATCAATCAACGATACGGCGCAACATGAAGTGCTGCGATCGGGAGTGCCCCATTTCTTTTTTCCTTTCTTTTCTTGGGTCCTGTGAGCACCCTAGCTAAGTGCTCTACTACCCAACCATTCATCGAGCGTGTACGTGATGGCCGGGCTGCCAACAAGGCCCTATGCTACCTCACGCGCGGATCGTTCAAAGAGGACCAGCGCATGCACAGGCTTCTCTGACACATGCGTTTGTTTGAGCTTGAGGCTATTTGTGAGACACGCCCGACCGTGACGGAGAGCGAACCGACGCTGCACTATCAAACTATTAGCCTAATAACGTACCTAATTATCAACACATACCTAATAATTAGCTTGTTATTAGCTTAATAATTAGCTTATTTACACAATCAGTTTCGTGAAAAAAGCTAATTATTAGCTTATGAATGACCTAAGAACATCTTTTAATTCTTTCCTGTGTTAGTGCCAGTGCGCGCCAGTCCCGTGCCCAGTGTTGTGCGAGCGAGTTGTTGTAAAATTCTTTTCAACCGTGGCGTACCTGTGTCGAACCTGTGTGCTGCGAGAGAGAGTCGTTTCGTTGAATTCTTTTCTGAGGACGCCCAGCCCTACTTGGTTGCCCGAACGTGGAGCCGCCATGCCAGACTCAGCTGTTGGAGATCTACTGGGGCTCGCATCGCCGGACGCGCCGGCGCCGGTTGCGACTGAGGAGAGCGTCAAGCCGGAAAGAAGCGCGACCGTTCGCTACCTATACCACGAGCCGCAGCTGTCTTCGCTTTGCGGTGTGCATGCGCTCAACAATCTGCTGCAGGGTCCATACTTCGGGGCTGGCGACCTCGGTGAAATTGCGGCACGCGTCGAGACTCGAGAGCGCGAGATCCTCCACGACGCGGCGCTGGCAGAGCGCTCCGCCTCGAGTGGCCATGTGGACGCGAACTTTGGCGACTTCTCGATCGAAGTGTTGTCGGCGGCCCTCGAGGGTCACGGGCTGCGGCTGCTCAACATTGCCTCGTCCGAGGTGGTGGTCCAGATCGCCTCCTCCCCCGAGCACGAGGAGGGCTATCTCTGCCACCGAGGCTCGCACTGGTTTGCGCTGCGCAGCATTGTCGGCCTTTGGTTCAACGTCGACTCGCGGCTGGAGCGTCCTCGCCTGCTCTCGGACCAGGCGGCGACCCGGCCTCGCGGCAGAGCCACGCACGCCGCACACTCTCCCGCGGGCGGGAGCCTACACCGCTGCAGCCCAAGGTCAGCTGCGGTCTCCGCCCGCCTCCCCCTCCGCAACAGGAGCTCTGCGACGGCGTCCGGAGCCTCCGCGACGGCGGCCACACGGTCTTTGCGGTGCGGGCGGCGCCGGCGCGCGGCGACGGCGGCCCGGCGCTCGCATCTTGCCGCACCGCGCCCAGGGCTGGAGGTCCAAGCATGTATAGGTTCTTGACGTGCTGGCCGACGACGCACAGCGGGTCGAGGGCAGCGAGCCGGTGAGGAGATCACGGGAGATCTGGGGAGATCTGGGGGAGATGTGAGAAGACGTCGCTCACCGTCTCAGGCCCGAGCGGGCGCGCTGCCGCTGCCTTCTCAGCCGCACGGCGGCGCCGGGCTGGAGACGGTGTGGCACCCTCTGGAGTACGTCGTCGCGGCGGCCGGCACCGACGGGGCCGTTCTTGCCGGCAGTACCCTACCAAGCCCGCTCCCCAACTCCGGTGAGAGAGAATAGGCGCCGACGGGCCCTTCTTGGCGGCCCGCTTCGGGCAGCCCCCGGGCTCAGACCCCGAGACGCTGGCGGCGGCGGAGGCCGCGGCGATCGCCGCTTCGGAGGAGAATGCGGGCGAGCAGGCCGACTTGGAGATGGCGCTGGCGCTGGCCCACGCTGATGCGGAGGAGGCTGCGGCGGTGGCGGCGGCGGCCGAGGCGGCCGCCGCGGCTGCTGCGGAGGAGGCGGAGGCGAGGAGTGTGGCCGGTCGCTCCCGCGCACTCCTCTCGAGCATCGGGGCCGCGATCTCGACGCGATCTCGACGTGGCGTGCCGCCGCCTCCGCCTCCGCCTCCGCCGCTGCCGAGAGGGTGGGAGCCGCCTAGAAGCGGAGCATCTCCCCAAAACTCCCCGTATCTCCCCGTATCTCCCCGTATCTCCCCGTATCTCCCCGTATCTCCCCGTATCTCCCCGTATCTCCCCGTATCTCCCCGTATCTCCCCGTATCTCCCCGTATCTCCCCGTATCTCCCTGTATCTCCCTGTATCTCCCCGTATCTCGGGCCGTAGAAGCGGGAGACGGAGTCTTGTCTTCCCCACAGCAAGCGCCCCAGAGACACGGACTCCCCTCCTTTCGACCTCATTCAGCTGTACTCGCAGCCCGTACATTCACGCGGTGCTCTGAAGACGCTGCCCGATGCCGTCCTCCCGCCCTGAGGTTGGCGCATTCATCGTACACACACACACACACACACACACGCACACACACACACACACACACACACACACGCACACACACACACACACACACACACACACACACACACACACACATGCCCCACCGCCCCGTGTGATGTGTCGGAGGAGTCTGCCTCACCCCACCCCGGGCAGGTGGGAGACGCACCTGGCGCCCGACGGGCAGCGGTACTACCACCACCGCCCGAGCGGCACGACGACATGGCAGCGACCGCTCGACATGGGCGGCGGCCTCGGCGGCGGCGGCGGCGGCGGCGGCGGCGGCGGCGGCTTCGGCGCGGCTTCGTCGAGGCTCGACCCGTTCCCAACCGCGCAGCAGCTGTCCGTGGAGGGGGCGGAGGGGGCCAGCGGGAGCGAGGGGTCGTTTGAGGCGCCGAGACCCGCCGAGATTCGCCGAGACCCGCCGAGATTCGCCGAGATTCGCCGAGATTCGCCGAGATTTGGCGAGATCTTCAGGAGATCAGACTCGGCGCACCACGCCCAAGCGCGCGTGGGCTGACTTAGTCATCAGCTGGGCGAGATGGTCCGAGATAGCCGAGATAGCCCGAGAGTGTCCGAGAGTGTCCGAGATTGCTCCGATAGGCGCCGCGGGGGCGCGGTGGGACGGCGCGCGCCGCCAGCGGGGGCTTTGCGACTTCGGAGGACGCGGCCCTTGCGTGGGCGCTGGAGGCGTCTTTGGCGACGGACGGCGGCGGCCGAAGTGCGAGACATTTCCGAGACACTTCCGAGACAGCTCCGAGACGCTCTTCCCCACGCCCTCTCTCGGTGCCCCTCCCGCGCTGCCGCTCCCTCAGCACTCCCCGAGCAGCACGCACAGAGCATGCGAGCCGCGCCAACCGACCGGTCGACTGCACGCGCGCAGGCTGTGGCGGCGGCGTCAGCGCGACGAGTGCCTTGCATTCCAGCGGCCGTGCGGCCGGCGGATCGGCGCTCGACGTGTGTTTGCCATGCCCCACCCGTTCCCCGCGGCCCAAGCACCAACCCTCCGTGTCTGCAGGCCACGGATGCGGACGCAGCGCTCGCTTGGGCGATGCAGCAGTCCCTTCAAAGCGCCGGCGTGGGTCCAGCGCCGCCGGCGCGTGCCCCCGCCGACGCCGGGGCGCCGACGGCCACGGCGCGGCCGCCGCCTGCCGCTGCGCCGCTACCGTCGCCACTCATTGACTTGGACATGGACTGATAGGAGCAGGAGATTGTGATGCAGTAGAGGGCCGTGTGGGGTTGAACGTAGGAGGGGGGGGGGGGGCGTGTGGGCGCCTCTGTGGGCGCCTCTACGTCCGAGAGCGGAACCGCGGTGGTGGTGGCCGGGCAGATCGCGACAACCACATGCACCAAAACAAGAACTCTCCGAAAGACTGTGAATAGCGCCTCAGCAATCGGAGACGAATCGCGCCTTCTCCTCGTCGAGAGCTCGGCGCGGCGGGTGTGGGCGCGTAAGTCCGGATTAGAGAGCTCGGCGCGTCTCGTTGTAAATCGTGTCAACTCGCGCGTCCGGCGTGTCGTCCGGCGCGATGTGGGCGTTCCGGTGGCGCCGTCGTACGACGCCTGCAAGTGTCTCAAGCATAATAACGCGAGTCGGCGTCGCCCCAATGCGCCCCTCAGCCATCTGTCCCCTGCCCGTGGTCAGTCGGAAACCGGTGATGCAGAGGCGGCGGTATTCGTGGACTAGCTGCTCCCTCCCCATGCCCAGGACCTCCTCTAGCACGGATTCGTCCAGGGTCGTGATGTCCAGGACTGCGCGGAGTACCGCCTCGAGGGTCAGTATGGTGTATGGACATTCGTGATTCGAGGGCGAGGTCCAAAGTGCGGGGCGTGTCGTTTCGATTGCTCTCACGCCGCCCAGTCGGCCGCACAGGTCGCATAGCCCCTGCCAACGCGGCTTCTTACATCGTCGCGGTCCAACCGGTAGCGCATCGGTCAACACTGAGTACGCCGTGTCTGACGTCGGCCGTTGCCCCCGTCCCCACCGACGTCGCTGCCGTCGGAGCTCGTGGCGAGATCGGAGCGGGTAAGTGCGCACTTTGGCATTAATGCTGTGCTTGCTCGTCGGTCTGCCCGCGTTTGCGCCTGTACCCACTTGCACGCCGGAGGAGATCGCGCGTCGCTCGTGCCAGGGGCCCGTCCTTGGTTCCCGCGTTGCCGGAGAGCGCGGCTTCCATCACGGCGTGGCCTCCGGCTCGCCGCTGCACAACGCTGTTGTTCTTTGGACCCGATACACACCCGAAGCAGCCGAAGCGATCGTGGACGTGCAGCTGCTGCTCGTCGAGGCGCGACACGCGGAGGCCCTGGTTTCGGACGGCGTGGCGGGCGAGCACGTGAAGACGTGGGCAGCGCAGACGGACATCGAGAAGGACTGGGTGGTGAAACTCGATGTGCGCGGACTCGAGTCAGGTACAGAGTATGTCTACGCGTTAGTACAGACATAGAGCTTGGTGAGCGCCTCCGACGCGGGGCGCTCGAGTCCGCGGCCGCCGAGGTCGACGTGGACTCCGCAGCCCTTGGAGCACTTGGAGTGCAGTTATCAACCTCACATCCAGGGCCGGGGAGCTAAGAAGCGCACCCAGCGAGCCGGATGATCGGTATCGGGTTACGGGCTAGAGAGCCTCCATCTTCTTCTTGAGGGCGTCGGTGTCGAGCACCCCCCAGATGACATATTCATCAGGAAAGCGTCCAGAGCTTCCTCCACTTTGATCTGCGCCTCCTCAAGTGCGATCGCCGCCACACACACACACACACACACACACACACACACACACACACACCGCCGTGACCATCTCCGGCCGGCGAGGCATCCGCGGCGTCGGAAGACGCCGCCGTCGCCTAGACTCCCTTGCGTCACTACGTATGTATGTATGTAGAAGATGAACAACAGTCAGGCTCTACGTGCCTCCCCGTGTTTGTAGCCTGGCGTTTGTGCCGGCCGTGCCCCGTTTGTGCCGCGTCCCGTGCGCCCGAGTTCACTGACGGGCTGAGAGGTCTTGCGGCGCAGCCGCACCTGCCTCCACATTATACGGATGCGTCGGCCTTACTGGCACACGTATACGCACAGGTGTAGTGTCTAGTGACACACACTGGGTCAAACCACACACACCTCAAAGGAAGCGGCACAGACCACATCGACCACGCACGCACGCGTCTCGCGACGCGCAAACACTCTGAGGACTGAGCTGAGATGAACAAACAAATTCAGAGGCAGTGGAGAGGTGCGTGCGAGGCTAGTGCGCTGCCCGCGCGGCGCTCCACCGGTCGCAGAGCGCCAGCCTCACTCGCCTCGCCATGCCAGCAGCCGGGCGCGCGCGGGAGAGGAGCAGAGCTGGTGCGTGGCGGGAGTCGGTAGCCGAGATCTGGACGCGCAGGACCGCCGGCGCGGCGAGGCTCGAGCAAGCGCCTGTGTGGAGGTCGAACGGCGTGTGGGAGGGCGGTGGGCCGCGAGAGAGTCGCGCAGCCCCGCGTGTGTGGACCGGTGGCGCTTCGGGTGGCGTATCGGGCCGTCAGAGGCAGATACGTGGCGCAGCGAGTGCGAATACATGCGATAATTCGCACGCACCGTGCCGAGCCGACCCGCGTGCACGATTGGAGCACCTCGAGGCGGCGCGATAGGCGGTGTGTCGAGGTGCCGCGGCCCGCCGCTGCAGCGTGTCGAAAAGGCGCTCTCGGAGGCGCCGCGGTGGCGGCCGAGCGCGCGGAATCGGCGAGCAAATTTGATGGCGTGCCGGCCGTGGGCCCGGACGAAGGCGCTACCGGCTCGGTTCGAGACCAGTGCCTGCAGGGACGCCTCCAGCACTCAACACAGAGCTGGTTGAGGACGCGGAGACTTGGAACGTCGACGCCTACTTTGGGCGCTGCATGTGCCGGTGGGGCGGGGGTGGGGCCAAATAGCCGAGCGGGAAAGGTGCCTGCAAGGATCCCCAAAGGCCTGGGGTCGAATCTGGCCCGAAGGAATCCTAAAAAGGGGCCCTAATGGGGGCCTATGCGGCCCAAAAAGGCACCTGTGAAGAGAAGCCCCCCTAAGGATGAATGAAGTCTCCTAGGCTGTGATGTCTCCTAGGCTGTGATGCCCCCCCCTAAGGATGAATGAAGTCTCCTAGGCTGCTTGTCTCCTAGGCTGCTTGTCTCCTAGGCTGCTTGTCTCCTAGGCTGCTTGTCTCCTAGGCTGCTTGTCTCCTAGGCTGCTTGTCTCCTAGGCTGCTTGTCTCCTATCGACCCCGACTCGGACGGCGACGGCACCCCCGACGCCGAGGAGGGCCCCGGCGACGCTGATAGCGACGGCATCCCTTGCCGATCCGCACCTTCCTAGGCTCTTGGGTGGCGTGTGTGAGTGAGTATTCTTGATACGAAACCACGACGACACACACCAGTCGACTCGCATCGGTTGCCTCCATGAACGGCGGAGCTATTCTCGCGCCCACACCACACCTGTGGCTCCAACGTGGACACGCCCATAGCTGGGGACACTACTAGGTCACGCATGGCATCACAGAAGTTTTGTCTCTGGGCCCCGAAAGGCATCTCTAGCAGTGTCGTTACGCATGCCCCCTCCCCTCCTGGGCGCATGCGCCTCACGTCTCGCCAGAGCATACGCCCTTGGTGTGTGGCGAGACGAGTTTTTCGCATGCAGCGAGCAGCAAGCCGCCCGCCGCAAACAGCCGGAGGCATCGCCACGGCACTGACTGCGCCGCGCTCCCGCACCCGTCGACGAAGCTCCCCCCGCGGAAGACCGCGCGTAGCGACGCCTTGTCGATCGAGATGGGCGCGCCTGAAGCTCGCCCACCTACTGCCCCTGAGAGTTGGTTACGAGTGGGATCAGCTCCCCCCCCTTGGGATCAAAGCTTCCACGACCTCGCACCCAACATCTCAGGCGGGATCAGAAGGATACACTCTTGGGTGGCGCCCACCCGCCAGCTCTTCACAAACCTGGTCGGGTCTTCCTATCACCTTGCCCGCTGTTGGCCGCCGGCGCCATGTCCCTCCTCGACCGCTACATGGACGACCTCGAGTCGCGCCGCGAGAAGGCGGGCTCTGATCCGTCCGACTATGAGGACGTGGGTGGCGTGGCAGTCTCGCCCGAGTCGGCGGCGGGAGATACAGTGGTGTTCAAGGCGGCAGACATCAAGCTGGCGCTGTCGAGGCCCCCGCCGCCTGTACCCGACGACGCCGCGTCCGTCTACTCCACCACTTCGGAGCTCGGAGCGCCCGTCGGGAGCGTCTCTCCGCCAGCGCCCGCGGCAGCACCGCCGCCACCGCCGCCGCCGTCCGCGGAATCGCCGCGCAATCGCGTCGCCCCAGGGACGAGCGTGGCGGCGCTGCTGCAGCAGCAGCGGCAGATGGCGGAGCAGCTTCGGCAGATGCAGGCCAAGATGGACTCGGAGCGGCGCAAGCGCGAGCTCGCCGAGAACGCGATGGAGGTTCGAGCGGACTCTCGCCGCCGCTGCCCTCTCGCCGCCCGTCCTGCCACCACCGCCCGTCGCCTCGCCCCCCCCCCCCCCCGTCCCCCAGGTCGAGCGCGCCTTCCTCCACGGCAAGCCGAGCACCACCTTCCTCCTCCGCGTGGTGATTCCGCTGCAAGCGCGCCCGTGTCTCCGTTAGCGCCGCTCCCTCCCCCCGCGACCCCTCCCCTGATGCGTCCGTTTTCTTTTTCAAGGCGCGCTTCCGCGCCGCGCGCGCGGCGAGGAGCTACCGCATCCACCTCCTCTTCGTGCGGCGGCTGCAGTGCTCGGTTCGCCGCTGGGCGGCGACCGCGCTGCTCAGCAGCAGCCGCGCCGGCGCAGTTCGTCTGCAGGCGCCTTCCGAGAGCCTTCCGAGAGCCTTCCGAGAGATTTTCGAGAGATTTTCGAGAGATTTTCGAGACTTCTCCAGCTCCGTCACAGCTCACACGCATCCCCCCCCTCCCACGTCTCCCACAAGCCTCTCCTCCCACTCTCTCTCCCCCCCCTTGCCCCCTCCCCACTCTCCTCTCGCTCCCTCTCTCGCAGGCGGCGGCGCGGCGGCGCGCGTGCGTGCTGGAGCGGCTATGGCTGCGGCGGGAGAGAGCGGCCGGAATTGTGCAGTGCGCGTTCCGCGTGTACAAGGTTGGCCCTAACCCTAACCCTAACCCTGACCCTAACCCTGACCCTGACCCTGACCCTGACCCTGACCCTGACCCTAACCCTGATGGGGGAGATTTAGGGAGAGTGGTGGGCGGAGGCGCGCCTCTTCCTCGGACATATCTCCCCACCATCTCCCCATATCTCCCCATATCTCCCCATATCTCCCCATGTCTCCCCATGTCTCCCCATGTCTCCCCATGTCTCCCCCCTATCTCCCCACATCTCCCCAGATCTCCCCTTTCTCCCCATATCTCCCCATATCTCCCGTTCCGCGTGTCCCAGGTTGACCGGCTGGACGACCCCGACCTCATTACAAGCCGCCTGTTCGCACGCCTGTTCGCCGAGCTCCCCGGCAAAGGTACCCGGCAGGATGGGGAGATATGGGGAGATATGGGGAGATGTGGGTGTCGGGGAAAAACCCGTCTTTCGCTTCTAGGGCCTCGAGATGTGGGGAGATACAGGGAGATCCGGGGAGATACGGGGAGATGTGGGGAGAGATTCGGCATTTAGGGCGGCTGGTCACGACATGCCCTGACACGTTAAGGGACACGTCCACTCACCCATCCAGGACACGTCCACACAGTGGGCACAGGACACGCCCACTCACCCCTCCAGGACACGTCCCCCGGGGCACGCCCGGGACCCCCCCCCCCCCCCGCCGCCCCGCCCCCCAGGCGCCGCGCTCGCCGCCGCCGAAGCTCGACTCCGCGCCGCCGCCGCCGAGGATAGCGCCGAGTCGGCGGCAGTGGAGTGGCGCCGCCGGGTGCGGCAGGCGGAGGCGGAGGCGGAGGCGCGGGTGGCGGCGGCGAAGAGGCAGCTGAGGGAGGCGGAGCCGCCTAGAAGCGGAGCATCTCCCCATATCTCCCCACATCTCCCCATATCTCCCCATGTCTCCCCATATCTCCCCATATCTCCCCCAGATCTCCCCCAGATCTCCCCCATATCTAGCACTCGAGAGGACACACCTCCCCATATCTCCCCATGTCTCCCCACATCTCCCCACATCTCCCCACACCTCCCCATATCTCGCGCCTAGAAGCGGAGTACCAAGCTGTGGTCCTCCAACCAGCGCTCGAGAGGACACGCACACCGCCGCCTTCCGACCGTCGCGTGCCCGGCCGTTGTCACTGTACTCGCCCCCCCCCCCCCCCGCCCCCTTCCCTCACGCGTTGCTCTGAGAGCTCTGCACAACACCGCCTCCCCGCCCCCGAGGCTGGCGCAGTCTCACCGCCTAGGCGCGCGGTTGCTACCGCACCACCCACGGGACTGAACCCACACACTGGGTTCGAGACTCTGGAGGTGTGGTACGTGTGTACGTAGGCGGAGGCGGCCAAGCGCGCCGCCCTCGACGAAGCCGCGACCCAGCTGGCGGCGTATGGGCGCGCCATCGAGGTGATGCACGCGGAGATGGCCGGCATGCGTGCGCAGGCGCGACCATATCTCGCCATATCTCCCCCTATCTCCTCGCCAGATCTCGCCAGATCTCGCCATCACTCGCCAGATCTCGCCATCTCTCGCCAGATCTCGCCATCTCTCGCCATCTCTCGCCATATCTCGCCATATCTCGCCATCTCTCGCCATATCTCGCGCAGATGGCCGGGATGCACGCCAAGGCCGAGGGCATGCAGGCGAGGGCCGAGGGCATGCAGGCGCGCCCCGCCTCTGGAGAGCGTGTGAGCCGCTCCCCCCTTCCCACC